AGTGGCGTGCTGGGTACTATTTTTCTGGGGGGGGCCGTCGGCTGGCAACTAATATGCGCCCCTATAATATTACGCTTGATAAACGAGGGCCGAAGGCACGAGCCGAGCGCCGCAGGTGCGAGGTTTGTCTAGGGGGGTCCGGGGGCATGCCCCCCAGGAAAATGTTTGAATTTAGAGTCTCTGAAATGCCATTTCCTGGACTTTGGGGAAGATTTGACAGAAATCTGATGGTCAGGAAACGGCATTACAACGTATCGAAATTTGAAAATTGGTTAGAATTTAGTAGTAGCACTTAAATTGGGCAATGCTAACTACTTCCAGCAATTAATCTAATCCCAATTCTATTCTCTACTGATCTGAATACATGTACAACTTACAGCTCTTTTATACAATAACACACGGACCCAACGCATATGCATTTTAAGGTTTCCTTGCCTGGCTGCCAAAAGGGCGTGTTTCATCATTATCTCATTACTTACATTACTCATAATGTTTCTTGCGCAAACAACTAAATTTCGTACACAACTTTACATTATCATAACTTCAACAATCTAATTTGCGCCGCTCTCGTGATTCGTGAAGCATAATAAAGGGCATAATATAAGGGTATAATACCAGCAAAAAAGGGCATAATTCCCGTGATCGCTTCGAAGCCTGATCAATACTCCGGTAATGAGACATTGCGTGTGATCACTGATCATGTTTCTATATGAAAGAGTAATTTCGTGTGAGTCGTGAGGTAGCAAATACGGTTAGACAAAATAGTCTGCAATTTCATATACTCACTTTGTCGCCTATGCGCTTAGTCTGTTTATAAGTCTATAAACACATCTTTCCTTGGTGGAATTAGTAACTATATTTTTTCGAATGCGTTTCTTCCCACCTACTTTCATAATTCGGCGTGGGATCGGCGCCCCCTTTTCATATAGTGGCGTGGCCCCCCAGCCCCCCCCCCTCCCCCGCCAGCACGCCACTGTCTGTATAAAACTTATACAATGAAAGTATCACTGATACTAATGTAAAATTGATAATTTGATATCAATATGCTTGAAGCTACAATTTTTTGCTCTGCCTAAGTTAGTAGGGCAAGACAATGGGCCATTCAATATACCCACACCATGTTATCGAAGGATCACTTCACTATCCCCTTGGGATAAAAAACATTGGATGCAATTTTTGGCAGCCCCCCCCCTCCCTTTGGAAATCACTAAAATACCAAATTTTCACCATATTTTTTTAAGTCCTATAACCCACCCCCCAGGAAAAATTAAAATTAAAATCTCGTCTTATTGTCTGAATTATGATGGTCCAATTTCACTCATGAAGGAAAGAGTCTTGCGAGTTTTTGGGGCTGTTTATATGGAAGCGAGCCAGCTCGGGTATCCGAGCTGGCTCGCGTCCCGGAGATGAATGTCACCACGCGTTTACATAAAACTTATATGAAGGGCTGGCTCTTCGTGTTCTAATTTTTTTTTGCGTAAACAACTCCATATATGGAAGTTGATTCCTTATATGGGAGTTGTTTGTGCATTCTGAATTATTCTAATTATTTGCGCATGCGTATTTGCTAAATTTCCAGCCCTACTAGGAGGGCTAGCCCGTTTACCCGAGGTCTCGGGTCACACGAAGTGGGACCTCGGTTAGGCGGGCCAGCTTGGTTCTCATATAAACGCAACATGAAATTTAGTAGGAAATATTAACAAAGCGAGCCCGAGCTAGCTCGCCTCATATAAACAGCCCCTTAATAATGGTTTATAATTCACAGTTTGTTGTCCCTCCCAACAGCTGACATAATAATCTGTGTAACTCCTAGCGTTTCGTTAGTGATATTAGACGCATGTGCTAGGATTGTTCATTCGTTCATAAACACTGACAAGCAAGACGAGACATCCAGGATTAAAGAATAGTCGTAAGTCGTTAACGCAAGTTGAATCTAACCTTTAATATCCTTCTACATACGTCTAAACTTGACGTCTAAACTTGACGTCTAAACTTGACGTAAAACGAATGTTTTAACAATAATATCACTAAGATAAGTCCTTCGTGTAAACTACAGTTCGCAAAAGTTCGCATAAGTTCAAGTTGGTATATTAAAACGTATTGTTTTTTTGTGGGGCCTGAGCACTAATATGCCCTTATACGGTTCGCAGTTACATGGCTCCCCTAAATTGTCTATTACGATAATTTACCACTAACATAACTGAATATAATAACAACGACGATAATGTTCAATAGTTCACAGTTGGCTCCTTGTCGGGGAATCTTCACTCTTCAACGTTCTCCGTGTCTTCGACTTTAAGAAGTACAACTAGCTTCTGAATAGGACGTTCCAAAATGGTCGCAACTCGACTTCGTTTTCCGCGTTCGTTCAACAGAGGATCTGCCACAATAAGCTTGACCTTTCGCACCAAACCATCTACGTCCGTGTAAACTTCGTCAACGCGAGCCTTTCGCCAAAGGTTTCGAGGCGCGTTATCATCCTTGATGAGAACGATGTCGCCTACACGCAAGTTTCTACGAGGGTTGCTCCACTTCTGCCTTCCTTGCAAAGTGTTGAGAAACTCCTTACGCCAACGCGACCAAAACTGGTTGACAAGGTACTGGACTCGTCGCCATCTTTTCACTAGATATTTGTCTGCTCGCTGGAACTCGCCGGGTGGTGGGAGTAGTATTCGCGATTTCATTGTCAGGAGGTGGTTTGGGGTTAAGGGTTCCGCGTCGGTAGGAGAGCCAAGATTAGTCACGGTTAGGGGACGGCTATTTACAATAGCCTCTGTCTCGCACATGAATGTTTGCAGTGACTCTTCATCCAACTGAGTTCCCGCCTCGAGGAGGAGGGCATTCAGAACGTTGCGCGCCGTTCGTATCTGCCGTTCCCATACACCACCCATGTGACTGCTGGAGGGCACGTTCATTAGAAATTCGAACCAGTCGCATTCTTTTTCCAGTAGGAATGATCGCACCTTCTCTTTATCCATCTCTTGCAAGGCTTCTTTCAATTCGCGTCGAGCACCTGCTAGGTTTGTACCCTGGTCTGATCTGAGCTGACGAATGGGTCCGCGTCGAGCCAGGAAACGACGCAGAGCGTTGATAAAGGAATCCGTCTCTAACGACTTCGCCGTCTCGAGATGAATCGCCCGAGATGATAGGCAAGTAAACAAAACGCCGTACCGCTTTAGCTCTTTCCGACCTTCTTTAATGTGCCACGGGCCAAAGTAATCAACGGCGCAGAAGGTGAACGGTGGCGCAGGTTGCAATCGATCGTAGGGAAGTTCGGCCATTTTCTGCTCGGATACGGTACCACGAAGCTTCCGACACGTGACGCATTTGGCGATATGATGGGCCACTGCAGAAGTTGCACCAATGATCCAAATCCCGTCCTCGCGAATCTCGTTCAGGGTGATTCCACGGCCTTGGTGTTTGACTCGTTGATGGTAATGTTGGATTATGAGGGATGTAATGTGTCCCTTTCTCGGTAGGATTGCGGGGTGTTTCACGTGAAAGGGGACATCAGCGCGTTTGATTCGTCCGCCAACTCTTACGAGTCCCTCTTTGTCGATAAATGGATCTAGTCGATATAATGCGCTGTTTCTCTTTAAGCTTGCCTTACGATCCTTGACGTCTTCTCTTTTCGTGGGGTTGGATTTCAAACGACGCAGGAGTTCCATCTCTACGGGAAACATTTCCGTTTGAATCGCCTTCATAATTTCTACTTCCGCTTGTCGCAACTGTTCCACGTTTACCGGCTGATACGAATTGGTGCGTGTCTCGGATTTAACTTGTTCTCGATCTGTCGTACAACTTCTCAGACGCTTTCGGAGCTTCAGGCAAACTGCGATGGCTCTTTTCGCCCGGTGCCAATCGGAGAAGTATTCAAGTCTCTGGAGAATCGTTGACACGTTTTCGGTCGTTCCTTGCGTGGCGAGTGATTTTACTTTCTTAACTTCGGGATCGTCTTCCGAGAGGGGCGGACTTTCGGTGGTGGATGTGTTGATCTCGGGATTCCATAGAAACGCTGGTCCGGATAGCCACCGAGGGTTGGATATCAGCTCTTGGGCACTTAATCCTCGTGACGCCTCGTCTGCTGGGTTCTCCTTACTCTCTATGTATCGCCACTGGTTTGGGTTAGTGCACTCTCGAATTTGTTGTACCCTATTCGCCACGAATGTGTGGAAGCGTTTGGCATCGTTATTTATATAGCCAAGTACTACTTTGCTGTCCGTCCAGAATATATCGACGATCCCTTCGTAATTGAGCTCTTGGTGAAGTAGGTTGCTTACCTTCACGGAAACTAACGCCGCCGTTAATTCCAGGCGAGGGATCGTGACGCTCTTCAACGGGGAAACTCGAGCCTTTCCCATGACGAACGAACAATGAATTTTGTCTTCCTCGTTAACTAATCGCAGGTACGAGCACTGACCGTATCCCGAGGTACTCGCGTCTGAGAAATGGTGAAGCTCGATGGACTTTAGCTCTCCGAATCCATCTGGTCGATAGCATCTTTGGACGCCCAGGTCGCTCAACAAGAGTAAGTCGTTACGCCATTTCTCCCATCGTAGTCGAATTTGCTCGGGAATTGGGTCATCCCAGTCGATTCCGTCGCGACATAACTCCTGTAGAAATTGCTTTCCTTGAAGTATAAGAGGGGCTACGAATCCTATCGGGTCGAAGATGGAACTTACAGTGGAGAGGATTCCGCGGCGGGTAGGAGGTTTGTTCTGCAGGCTCACTCTTAGCTGAAAGGAGTCGGACTCGATGCACCATTCTACGCCAAGTGCTCGTTCTATTGGCAGGTCGTCCTTGCGAAGGTCGAGATTCTTTATACCGGAGGCTCTATCGTTGGGCGGGATCTTCTCTATCACCGGCTTCGAGTTTGAAACGAACTTGTGGAGACGTAATCCACCACGGGCGCATAGGTCTTTGGTTTTCTTAATCAGCGAAACGGCTTCCGAGACTGAGTCGACTGACTTCAAGCCGTCATCAACATAGAAATCGTCTCGAACAAAGTTCGCTGCTTCTGTGCCGAATTCTTCTTCGTAGTCGTTGGCTATCTGCTTTAAGCCGTAGTTCGCACATCCTGGAGATGATCCGGCTCCAAATAGGTGGACCGTCATTCTAAATTCTACCGGGGGGTTGGTTGTATCTCCGTTTTCCCACCAAAGGAATCGCAGGAAGTCTTGGTGGGCCGCGATGACGTTGAACTGGTGAAACATTGATTCCACATCACACATAAACGCAATTGGACTTTGGCGAAATCTACACAGCACGCCGATCAGTTGGTTGGTGAGGTCAGGACCCTGTAGTAGGTGATCGTTTAGTGACTCGCCCTTATACTTGGCACTACAATCGAATACTACGCGCATCTTTGTGGGTTTCTTCGGGTGATACACCCCATGATGCGGAATGTACCATGTGCGTCCATCGTCCCTTGGAAGCTCCTTTTCAGGAACTCTTTCCGCGTATTTTTTCGATACTAAATCATTCATGAAGGCAACGTAGTCCTTACGATACTGTTCGTTATTCTCGAGCCGGGTTTTGAGTTTGGCTAGTCGATGTAATGCAAGAGACTTGTTGTTAGGCATACTCGGTTCTTCTTCGCGGAACGGTAAAGGCATTTCGTAGTGTCCGTCTTGTCTCTGACGAATTCCTTGCTCTACCTTGCGTATGAACTTCCTATCGTCTTGCGATATCGGCTGTTCGTTAGTTTTTCCTTCCGAGAAGTCGGATTCCAGGATCTGTCTCACCTGGACTGGATTTAGTATTTCCTTCGTAGTGGTCTTAACTGAGAAGAAGCACGTCTTCCGATGGAGTGGATTTGTGTCATTTGTACAGCACGATATAACTCTACATGCGTGCGTGGTGTGCATCTCTTCATGGTCCTTGTCTCGCTCGAGGTTGGATCTTGAAACGTTCCCGACAATGCCCCATCCTAGATCTGTCTTCTGCGCGTATGGTTCGTTGTCATTGCCGGGTATGATTTTTCGAGGCATTATGGCTCTGGGGCAGTTTGAACCGATAAGTAGACCAACTTCAACGTTATGTTGATATGGAGTCAAACTGTTCGCAATGGGTACTAGATGTGGCCACTGGTTTACCATTTCGGGACATGGGATCTGTCTTCGTCTGGCTGGTATCGTTGTGCACGAGAAGGTCGTGGGAAGAGGGATAGAGACGTTATGGTCATAGTCGCTAACAGCAAGTCCTTTGATTTTATTACTGGCTATCACTTCGTTGTCTGCATGCATCGTTGACAAGGATAGTTGGGTTTCTGGGCCGCTGACATTTAAACTATTTAGGGTTTCTTCAGTGACGAAGGTAGTGTCCGATTGATCGTCCAAGAGGGCATACACGAGTATCTTGGTTTCAGGATTATCACTATGGTTGATCCAAACCGGGATTATCATGGAGCTCATTCGCACCTGAGTTCCATCGTTCATGAAACATGCCTTGGTACAGTTGACGGTCGGTGAGTTGGCATTATCGTCAGGACGGTCCTTATCGTTGCCTGGATTTTCCCTGAAATCCCCATGCAGCGAGGTGGGGTGTAACTTTCCACAGGTCTCACACTTCTTTCTTTTCTTACATTGCTTGGACGTGTGTCCTGGTATTAAACAGCCATAACAAAGTCCTTTGTCTCTTGCAAATTTCTTTCGATCTTTGATCTCCATTTTACGAAACTGTTCGCACGAATTTAAATCATGAATTTCTTTGCAGAGTGAGCATGAGTTACTCACTGGCTTTACCCTTTTGGATTGGCCTTCGTCTTCTGGATCTCCTTCCATAGATCTTGTCGCAAAGTTTCTTTTATCGATTTCTGTTCCAGCTCTGTATCTCGAGTAGGGACGCTCTGGTCTCCGTGGATCCTTCGGTCGTTTGTTCTCGTCGTTTAACTTACTGCTTCTCAGATTAACTGGATCGCATGCGATATTTGACTCGGTTACCAGGAATCGAACGAATTCCGAAAACGGGGGGAATTTATTCTTCTCCTCTCTTGACTTGTAGACCACTCTTGCCCAGCGATTTGACAACCACTTGGGTAGTTTGGATATCATCTTCTGGTTTTCTTGTACATCGTTGAGCACGTTGAGGCTACTCACTTTCTCCATTGCCGTTTCGCATTGGACAAGGAAGTCGGAGTACTTTCGCAAACCAATCGCATCGCCAGGCGCAATTTGTTTCCATTCTTCGAGTCTTTTTCGAAATGATGCTGCTACTGTGAATGGATCGCCAAATCGTTTAGCCAGCATCTCCTTTGCTTTCGTATATGCGTCGTCGCCGTCCAGGAGCATGAAACCATTCACCACTTCTTTAGCTTCACCACTGACATATTTTCCAAGAAAATGTAATCTTTCGGCCGGGTTGATTGCTCTGCCTTCAATAAGGGTCTCGAATGCCTTCACCCACATTGGGTATTGCAAAGGATTACCACTGAAGACGCCCGGCTCCGGCAGGGGTAATCGGTTCTGGTTTTGGACTTCCAATAATTTTGTGATTGCGGTTAACTGAGCTTGAACCAAGTCGGGGTTTGTGGCACCAGTTAGGGTGTAAGGTGGATTGATGTGGACATTTGTAGGTGTTACGTTGATTTGTTGGTTCGGTGCTGAGGTGGTAGCTTCTTTGCAAGAGACGTATGGTGGGACGTCTGGGTTCAATTTGGATTGAGGAGGAACTAATAACCCACATTCGGGAGGGAGGGAGTCAGCTGTATCATGCGTAGCAAGTTCATTATTCTCACCTTCAGCAGAAGGTTCTGCCTGAGATCGAAGGAATTTCTGAATGTGCTCTCGTGTGGCATTACTTTGATTGTCGTCGTCGTCAAATATCACGGACGTACCCTCGTTTTCGAACCGTGTGCATGCCTCGACTCTTGCTTCCCTTTCTGCTAACTGTTCCTTAAGTTTGAATGTTTCCTTCGTGGTTTCGATTTGCTCAATCAAACGCTGCTCTTCGCTCTGGATTTCCAGCTTTCGCCTTTCGATTTCTTCGAGTGCGACTCGGTTAGCCTTGTCTAGTTGTTCCCTTTCCTCTACAAGATTTATTTTGGCTCTCAATGTTGCAATTTCCTCTTCGAGGTCGAGTCTACGAAGTCGTGCGGATGAGCTAGTACTAGCTAGTGATGAACGAGATAGTCTACTTCGATGACTTGATCTACTTCGATGAGTGGATGTGATTACTGAATGTCTATCTTCGTTTTCATTCAATTTTAGCTGTTGAATTGCTTGCACCGCTTGGGCAAGTATTTGATTTGTTTCTCGACTCATATCCTCAAACTTACTATAAAATGTCATCTTTTCGATGGCTGAACCTTGGATGCGCTCTAATTCTTCTTGGGCAGCAGTTAGTTCCTTCATGCATTGTTCTACAATATTTGCTTCCTTTTCTAATATGGAGATGTTTGTTTCCTTTATTATTTGTCCTTGCAAATGATTAATTTGTATTCTTAACTTCTTTGATATTCTATAAAACTCATTTTCATGTGTCGATGATGTAGTACCAGTTTTTACCGGCAGATCTGGCACCCCTGTCTCATTTTCTTCAGCCATATTTGATATTTCGCAAGAATTACGAAGTACGCCCGAGCGCTCTCCGGTTGCTTTCCGATAATTAAGTATTCAAAATGGCGCCGAGACCACGTTGTATGATCGTTCGACCGGGCTATTTGCCCTTATAAACGCAAATATGACGCTCAAATGCGAATAAAGTACGTGTTTCTGACCTTGATGTCGACCAGGTTCGTTCCTTCGTTGTGAATTTAATTCGTTTTACTGTAACTCCTAGCGTTTCGTTAGTGATATTAGACGCATGTGCTAGGATTGTTCATTCGTTCATAAACACTGACAAGCAAGACGAGACATCCAGGATTAAAGAATAGTCGTAAGTCGTTAACGCAAGTTGAATCTAACCTTTAATATCCTTCTACATACGTCTAAACTTGACGTCTAAACTTGACGTAAAACGAATGTTTTAACAATAATATCACTAAGATAAGTCCTTCGTGTAAACTACAGTTCGCAAAAGTTCGCATAAGTTCAAGTTGGTATATTAAAACGTATTGTTTTTTTTGTGGGGCCTGAGCACTAATATGCCCTTATACGGTTCGCAGTTACAGTTCCCATGTAATAAAAGCTGAAGAATTTGATTTCGAGTACGTCGGTAGGAAAAAGAAGGAAAAATTTCAAAGTCTAAACGCATTTTTAAGCCGCTCTAATGTACGAGTCAAATCCAACCGCGATTAGCCCCCCCCCCCCGGGCAACCCCCGGGGAATTTGACTTTTGAAAAAATAATTGGTCAAATGCCCGCCCGAACAGGCAGAAACCACAGTCAAATGCCCTGCTATAGGGGTAGTCCTGTTTCTGGAATTTTGACTAAAATTAAATTGAACCAGTATTTCAAGATTAAAAAGAACGAAAAATAGGCCAGACAGTTCTTCTTTTTGTTCAACTGGGCATATTGTATCATATATCTATGATTGATATTTGTTATTCAGAAGCAATTTTCAAACTATCGAAAAGACGCAAAATACAAAACTCGAATGTACACATATTTTTAGGGAAAACTGCTGAGCAAGTTGTTGTCAAGTAGTCAAATGCCCGGCCGGGCCGTCAAATTCCCGACCGGGCTGTCAAATTCCCGCCTATACGGGGGTAATGTTAAGTCAAATGCCCTGGGGTTGCCCGGGGGGGGGGGCTGATCGCGGTTGGATTTGACTCGTACATAAGCACTTAAATTTTGTGGACACTCTTACGTTGGCGGCCATCTTGGATTTTCTAATTTATTATTATTATAATTTATTACACCCATTATATCTGGGTGTTGAAAGTCATATGACCGGCCGGTGCCAGGGCCTTTTCCCGCCTTCCCAGAACCTCGTACCCAGGGCTTCTGCGCTTATTGCTCTCAGAAGCCCTGGGATAATCTAACTCAGAACGTGATTTGATTGGTCAATGCGAATACAATGAAAGTACCGGAAGTTATTCATTAACCGGGTGATATTTTGGCAACATGTCTGCTATCACAAGGACTCAATGAGTGCATACAAAAGTTAAATGCTGGTTCTTGCATGAAAATACTTTTTTAAATCAAATCCTGGGCTATTTTGAAAAGAGCAAAAGAAGAAATGGACTATTTGTATTTGTAAATAAGCAAGAATGGCGAACAGAGTAAAAAAATTAACATAATAAAGCGAAACATTTCTCGTTCAAAAATTGAAACTTCAAGTATAAACCTACAACTTCAACCACGATATTCAATGTAAATATTACATAATAAAGTTTTTAATCCCTTTTTTACCTTTATTTGATAAATTGTGTGTTCTATATTATTGCATTTTTTATTGGAATAGGATAAATTATGAATTATATACATAATACACAATTATTCCCAACTTGAGGATGCTGGGTGCACTGGCTCAGAGTTTGTATTAGTGCCTATTTATTATTGAGTTATTAGTGCCTCTAAATCTAGCTCTAATGTACAAACATTGTAATCTGTTACTTAATACCATAAAGAAACTGTTGATAGCACATATATTAAATGACTATTAATCAAAATGAACTAAATTTTCGAGCATTATATAGCATATTTCCCCCAATATTGAGGGAATAATTTCTCCTATTTATTTTTATAATAAGCCAATATTGCCCAACTGTGAAGTAAATATTGCCCGACTGGCCTAGTCTGCCCAACAATTGAGCCCAGCCCTGTGCGCCTATGACCAGGCCTACAGGTGGACCCCCAACCTGATTGGTCACAATTTTTCTTTCTCCAAAATTTCCCCTCCCCATGTACAAGGATTGACAATTTGACAGTTTGATTAGATTTGAAAAAAAACACAGTTATATTGGGTCATTCCAGAAAACACCCATACCACTCCCACAGAGGAAATTGAAAGTTAATCCCTCCTACCCCGTTGGATGTCCTAATACATTTACTATTATCAGAAACAATTTTCCCCCCTTCCCCTCTGAACGGCAGAAATTTCCTCTGTGGGGGGAGTGTGGATATTTTCTGGAACGACCTATTTGAGAAATGCTTTTGCACAAATTTTAAATTTTCTTACAATTTTCTTGTATGTCAGAACACTGTTCTAAGTTGCAACTAAAATTCAGAGGTCTAAAAGGCTCAAGTCAATCCCAGTGGTGTAACCAGAGGGGGTGTGGTGGGGGGGGGGGGCAAAATATTTTAAATGTTCTGAACTTGTTTGTAATTAATTAGAGTTGAACCTATGTTAACTGCAAGGTTATTTCAAATCACCAAAACACATTAAAATAGCCCCCCAAAATGGCACTTTATTAACTAGAATTTAAAAAGTCTACATTGTACTATATTATACATGGATAGCTTGGAAGTCCAAATATATTTTTACATACTAACAAACTTTATTCAAACTAGTGCAGGCCCCTCCTGGGGATTTCAGTCCCCCTTGAAGGCCTTAATTAGAAATTCTGGCTACATCACTGCTCAATTCCATTGCCAATGATGGTGTTAGCATGATTAGACAGAGTAGGTTAACAAACTAGTGTGTATTATGAGATAATCCATTGAACACCAATGATCTATCCCAACATATAAAATCATGTGGTGGATCCAGCAAAGTTTTTTTGGGGGGTGCTAACCAATGGCGAAACGAGCGCCGAAGGCACAAGATTTCTAGGGTGGTCCGGGGGCATACTACAATGGAAAATTTTTAAAATTTGGGTCTCTGAAATGGCATTTCCAGCATTCTGAGAAAACATTCTGGAAAATTTTTAGATTCTCAAAACATTTAAAAATTCAGAATATTTAATATTGGCTATTCCACTATTGTCAACTAGTGATACGCAACTGAATTCCTTAACATAAGTTGGTTAGAATTAGGATAAACATCATTTTTGCACCCCCCATGCACCCCTGTTGACCAGAGCCCCTGGGGAGGGGTGCACACCAGAGTAAAATAAAAAGTAAGGCACAGTGTATAACTTAATAGGTAAGGTTAATGGCCAGAACTAAATGATAAACAATATTTTATAATAAACCCAAATTAGTTCAGCACCATTGGTTCTTATAACACTGTTCATTCCAATACTAGAACATCAGCAATTAACAAAAGTTGGAGTTTCATCCGATGACATGTATGCTTCTAACAATGCTGTCCATGCAGCTATCTGACAGTTTTTAATTTTCAACATTGATTCCCAAAGCCATTATTCTCAAGATTTGCCAAAAAGGTTTTCCAAATATTAAAGTGCAGAATTATATTACATCACTCATCACTGTTCATTTTACATTCTTCAAGTAGATGCATGTTTACAGTACAGTATATCTTGTGCATTTATAATTAAATCTTGCAATATCTTGTTCAAAACCCTCAAATCCAAGATAATCGGCAGCCAGCCATGTTACCAGTAAGATTTCTAGTCTGTTAATTTTGAAATGACCAATGTTGTACTCGAATATAAATATTTATACTTTAATTATTGAATAGCCCCTGTATATCGCTGACAAGGTATATGCTTTTGTCGCGATATAAGATGTTCTTTTGCTTGCCAAAGGGCTAATTTTACGCATAATTGTATCTCTAAATTGATCATTCCTGACTTTAAATTCCAAAAGCCACGCGAGAAGCAGTTTAAGACGTCTTTACAAGTCCAAATATATCATAAATTGCAACAAATAATCCATTCTCACTCCTTGCGTAAAAATATGCCCAGTCAGCGTTTTTAGCTGGAGCTACTGTTTACTTCCGCTTCCGGGGGCACCACTGTTCTGTGGTGTTCCGGTTTGGATTATCCCAGGGCTTCTGAGAGCAATAAGCGCAGAAGCCCTGGGTACGAGGTTGCGTATGACCTTGCAAATGGCCTATGTTTTTTACAAAAAGCGTGTGCACTATTTATGTGGGAACACGAGTTTATGGGAGGGGGAGAGAAAATATACTCGCCATACTTTTCGCGGCATATCCCTGATAAAATATAATTGAAACCAAATCTGCCAAATCAGCGGCACCGGCTATCGGGCATTACCTGAACAAGAAGCGACTGTAAGTAGTGTGATTTAGACCTAAATGCTTTCAGCCAATCGTACAGCTTTAGCAAAGGTAGTTTTATAGGCCTAGGCTTGTTTACTCGAAGAAATAAACGCTTTTGACGAGCTCTTTGGTTATTTATTGAACTACATGACTCGACGCTGATTATATTAACATACGGTTATTCCGGTCAAATAGGGGTTACGAAAAAAATCGTTAAAAATTCAATTCTAAGTTGCCCAAAAATTTTATTTGATCAATAGCAAGGGAAAACATATTTCTTTGATCTGGTTATGAATTTTTTGTCTGAATCGATGTAACAATGGAGATATTCGCTGCCTAATATGGCATATAATAAAGAGGTTCGAAAATAAAAAACATTAAGAAAATCTGTAAAATATTCACTTTTTACAGAAATGTCTCTAAATTTCGTCTGCTAATCAATAAATATCTCTAATTTATAAAACGAAATCATGTTTTGTGAAATATTCCCATTAACGCGCAAAATAGAGCGATTTTGGTAGCGCCGTAAAATGACCTCTAAAAATTGAAAGTTGCCTGGGAAAACCAATTTCGACGTCTCTCTCCTTCAATATTTATCCGATCGAAATAAAACTTTCACAACATTAATACTTCATATAGGCCTATATTCTGACAAAGTTTGAACGAGTTTCAATTTTCTCATTTTACACGTCTTACCATAAATTTCGAACTTATTTATTCTGTACCGAAGTGAGTCCTTGTTATGTCTAAAGGTTTGAACGGTTCCGTAATTACCCCATATTCTCTCCCATTGGTAAAGGTACCACGTCCACTTTTTATTTCCCCTGAATGTGCTGGATTTAATGTCGTAACTTTCCAAGTCCGTAACCTTAAAGAATATGTCCTTGGATTCTAGGGTTCCGTCCTTTGCAAATGTAACCTGAAAGCCAAATTTAGACATTTCTGCACCCGGATATTTTTCCCGAAAATCCTCCTTCATCTTCCGTATTTCTACAGGTATTGCCGCCTTTACTTTTTCATAGTTCTGTCGGCCGTAACAGTTACAAAGGATGTCTTCATTAGTACTCATTTTATTATTACATATATAATAAAAATGAAGAGGTTAACGGTGTTTATCGAAAACGGAACTACCGAGTTCTTTCCGGACAAGTATATTAGAACGAACGCGGGGTCAGAATTAATCCTAAAGAACGCGACCATCTACTGGGCTTATAAGAACGTACGTTCGGGTGTCAACGATAGTATTACCTACGGACAGAAGAAAATTACCTTTAACGAAGGCTACTGGACCTTCGATGCAATAAAGAAAAAACTGAAGGCAGATGGAATAACAATAGAACGAAACACGCACGACAATACCTGCAGAATTTATCCGGCAACCAAGGTGAAATTACATTTAAATGAATTTGCTCCACTAATAGGATTTCCAGAAACGGAGGTCCTAACCTCCGAAGTGTGGGAAAGATCTCCTTATCCTATAGATATTAATCGCGGTCTTAAATATATTACCATAGACTGTGATGTTGTTAATACATCCCTAAATTTTGACGTAGATGGTGATGGAAGTTTTACGGTGGGCACGCTACCCGTGACATCCGGCCAGCATATAAACGGAACAACAACGTTTTTCAAAGACATTGGAAGTAGGGTTTATGTTAATAACGGTTCCCACAACAGATTCTCCTTCAGTATCAATACGAACATTGGCGATAAGGTCGATATGTCCGCACTCCTCAAATTTTATATCACATAAATAAAATGGAAGACGGACACTTTATTACCGAACAAGGGTTAAGGGATATCTACTACAATCCAAGTACCGGTTATCAATCCGCGGAGAATCTCTACCGTAAGGCAAAGGAGGAGGGATTGGACGTTAGTAGGAAAATAGTAAAGGACTGGTTAAAGACCCAAGACACCTACACAAGGTATAAGCCTATCGTTAGAAAACACAAATGTCAAAGGACATTCGTTAAGGACCTGGCGGACCAAGTGCAGATGGATTTGGTGGATATGGAAAAAAAAATCAGAACAAAGGATATTACTGGATACTAACAGCTGTAGAGATCCTGAGCCGGTACGGATTTGCTATTCCCGTCTACAGAAAAGATACGAAAAACATGACGAAGGCTGTGAACTTATTATTGGAGGAATTCAAGAAAAGGTTTGGGAAATACCCGGAAGTAGCTCAGTTCGACGAGGGAAAGGAATTCTACAATGTTGGTGCTAGGGACCTCTTACAAAAACACGACGTCCGCTATTTTTCCACAAACTCTGACAGAAAGACAGCTATCGTTGAAAGATTTAACAGAACCTTGAAGACAATGATGTGGAAGTATTTTTACAGCAAAGGGACTTACAACTGGGTCGACGCCATAGACGAGCTTACGAACAACTACAATCATACCAAACACAGCAGTATACTAATGAGACCTGCCGACGTAAGCAAGTCGAACAAGGACCATGTATGGATCACGCTATACGGTTACGGATTAGGAGAATTTCCATTACCCAAGTTAAGGGTTGATGATACGGTCCGGATAACGAAGTATAAAAATATCTTTACCAATGGATACGAAGCAAACTTTACGGAAGAGATATTCAAAGTTTTAAAAATATTCAGGGGAGATCCTAACATGTACGAAATAGAAAGTCATGACGGAGAACCGATTATCGGAAAGTTTTACGAAGAGGAACTATCCGCCGTAGATAAAATGGACGATGTATATAGGGTGGAGAAAATCCTGAGAAGAAGAAAGGGTATGGTGCTGGTCAAGTGGTTAGGATACGATAGTAAGCACAATTCCTGGATTCCGGAAGAAAATATTAAGGATATATAATAAATGGCTGACATTGAACTAGACGAAACAAACCGCGTCGACGACCGCGAAGCCGAAGAAGCTGGAACGGCGGAGGAGGAAACAAGTTTCATTGACAACGACGGAAGACGGGACAAAAGTATATTAATTCCCGTCGGATTCAATCCGGGCGTCGTTGGATAAAGACCCAGCGGTTCCACACCGAACATCAGACGGGATGTTGGGGTAATGAAACGGGCCTATACGCAGGATAAAAAGGATTTCCTCAAAAAGGAACTTGGAGTAAATATCAATAAGGGGGACGGTCCATCTTCCACCATCATCTTCGACAAAATGAAGCTACCCGTAAATAAGGCCGGAACAAAAATTAACGGTGCTACATTCAAAGATGTCAAGATCATTTCCAATCAAAGTGAAGCTGTCGGTAATAGTACAATTATAACGGAAAACGAACTAAGGGAACTGAGAGGTGTCCTGAACGTAAAAGGAAACTCGGATAAGCAAAAAATTGAGTATCTTGAAATAGAAAAAAATCACTGGAAAGAACTTGCTGAAACCGAACGAACTGCAGGACGTGAACAGAAGGCTCTCCTGTACGAAGCAATGGCAGACATAGCAGAATTGAAAGCGAATGAAATAAGGTTAAGATCAAACGAACGACCAAAAGGACCGAAAGCCATGTCCATCGTGGAAGAAGAGGTAGAAATAAACGACTTACAAGGTTCGGAAGATTTAAGAAATGGGCAAGAGAAAATATAGTTGGAATATCAGCCGTAGCAATAAATGTGGCTGGTATCATCACCACGATTATTATGGGAGCTAGAAGCGTAGCAAAAAAGGGAGCGAGAGCAACGAACAAGTTCGCAAAAGTAATGGCAAACCTAACTGGAAAGGTTGGACCCGTACTAGCATCTGTACTAAACCTCGTCGCTAAGGTTCTGTCATGGGGAGCAAAGGGCATTGCGTTTCTAGCGAAGAATCTTTGGATCTTGGCTTTAGCATTAACCTACTTCCTGTACAACGAGTACGGGAAAAGGAAAAAAAAGCACTATATAATAGAGTAACACAAACGAATACATCGTACTCGGTGCAATCGCCGCAATTGCGGTAAACGATGGTTTCACCCCAAAGCAAGTCCTGGGGTTGCTGGGAGTTATGGAATTCGGATATCACCTCATAGACAACATGACAGCAATGCCTTTATGGACAAACCCGAAAAAACTACACATACCTATAAACCTGGAAAAGACTAAAAAATAAATAAGAACACATATAATAAAGCATGGGAGATAGAAAGGACTTTATGAACGAAGCCTTCTGCGCCGGACTTATTACACTTGGCGCAGTCGCTGTATCTGTAGTAAGCAAAAAAATTGCAGGTGACAGTCTTGGAGTACCTAGTAGTCCGAAAGGAATTCTAAAACTAGCCGTAGCCCTTGGAGTCGGTGCGGTTGGAATTCACTACCTACAATTCAAAAAACTAGTACCGGATGATCCATTTAAATAAAGGGAGATGACAAGCGTCGTAGTCGGAGGACTATTCAACGCCGTAGCATTTGCAGGAGCCGAATAGGTGTTCAGCAAATTAAACCACAGTGGATACGAGCACGAAATGAAAAGGCATAACAAAGCGTTGGAAAAATTAGCCAAAGCTAAAGAAAGATGGTACGAAAGTCAAGTGGAAAAAAAGAACAGAATTGCAATACTCAGGCAGGAACTGGTCGACGCCAAATCCGATATGGAAACGACAAACCGTGCTCTGGACTCCCTGCGGAAAGCGCAGGAGGAATTAACCTTGGATAAAGAACCAACAATTTACGATTACTATAAACCATCAAGCGAAATGGAAGAATACCAGCAAATCACGATCGGAATATTGGGACTGGGGTCTGGATTCGTAATTACAAGGTTACTGTAGACCCGTTAAAATTTTAATGTTCCTTCGAATATTAAAATTGGTTCGTTTAGGTTTTTACTACCTTAGGCTTTTGTGTCCGATTGCTAGCGTGTGGATTCCATCATTCATGATTATCCTCTTGTCATCGTTTGCCGATAAGGCTACCTTGAAAACCCGTTCCGTACATATTTCGTGTAGCCTACTTCTGAAGACATTCATTCCCCTCCATTGTTTCTCACCGCTGAAGAGACATTCCTTATAATTTTCGAATGTTATTTCTTTTTTGATGACTACTTTCTTGACTCCCTTACACTTTTTCTCCTCACCACCGTCTTCCGCCATTTTGTAATCATTAGCTTTGACCTTAATGCCGCAAACTCTTCAATTTGTTTTACACCCATTTCCAGCTTCATCATCCCGATAACCTTCTTGTTCACACTCGTTTGGATTCCGGATAGGTGGTCCTTAATTACCTAAATTGCTGGTGTCGAATCTTTCGTAGACATCCCCGGATATATCCTTGAAGAAATCCTCGGTTTTAATTTCATAGCATAGGGAGTCCGTGTCCGTGAATAGGAGCCTGGCATCATACCAATACTTTGGTTTAATGTGTTGTAATGGAAGTCGTACATGAGGGTCTTACTAATGTCTAGGATGCTCATCCCTAAGTATATAGGTTTATTCAGTTTTACGGATGTCTTCATCATATGAACTGCCACTAGGTTTTCGGAAAAGATGGTTGCAGATTTGTACTTATGCTTCTGAGCCAGCTTGTTGTTAACAAGTCTTATGTCGACCCTATTCCTAACATTTTCCATCGTCTTTCCGATCGAATACCGAGTTGTTCATAAGCTTAAAGAAGTCCTTCTCAAAGTCTGTAATACCTTTGGTACGCAGATCCGTGTTGAGCTGGATATATTCCTTCATCCAGGGCTTTTCGTAGAATTTCAGTCCACGGTGAATCTTAGTGAGCTTTAACCCCAGGCTCAGGTACTGTCTTAGGTTCTTGTGGTGAAGGACGTATTTTTCCTTGTTATTGAGGTTAGAAATGAGCTTTTCCACCTTGTTAACCATTATCCTTTCGGGTGCGAGGGGGTATTCATTATGTTTGTCGTGTAGTTCGTCGGGGTATTCCAGGTCCACTTCGAGGATGCAGCTGTGTTCCGTCCAATCCTCCAGTTCCTTAACACCCATCCATTTGAAGTCCCTAATGGGTAGGGGTTGGCTCATTGCCCATCCGTATAGGTTGTTCGCGTCCATATAGGAGAGGTATGTAGCCCGCTCTTCATCGTCGCGACCAACCACCAGTTTCGTACCGGTAATGATTGTGATAATCGTGCCGACCATAGATATGATTGCGGCTGATAGACCGGAAAACTTTTTTTCCATCCACTTTTTGAACCTTTCCAACCAGGTTAGGTTCTTAGAAAGTTCAATATACTTATTATCTGCCTTGGCATACCTTTTGGTAATGGTGCTGATCCCACCACGAATACCCTTTTCGATGAATAGGTACATATCCGGATCGGATATGAGGTCCAGCTCCACACCGGTTAACTTCAGCGCAGCGTTCCATGCCAGCCAGGGTGCTGCGTAGTACCACATTGGATCCAGCCCGTAGTTGGTCTTACGAAGCTTTCTAAAGTTTTCCATCACATCTGTCAGGAGAAGGACGTCCGTTATCAGGTACGATCGTGATAGTTCCTCATGGTTTTCATGTTGAAGGTATTCCATACGTTCCAGGCTCTTTCATAATCCATATCGCTGATGTTTTCGTTGTTAAGCCTGCTGAAAAATTTCTCCTTCGGCGGGAGCGATGTTTCTTCAAGCCTCTCAAAACCATCCATATATTCATAAGGGTAAACACCCTTCTGTTTAAGCAACTCCCTCTGTTCCTTAGTGTTACGACCTAACATCAAATCTAAATTTTTGAAGTCGTCCTTACCCAAACCCTTGACGAGCTTGTCCAGGGAGCTTGCCATGAATTTAAATGAGTCAATGAACCTTAGCTCTCTTTTAACCTTCTTCTCCTTTCCGTCTTCGTTGATAAACCTAGAGACCTCTATCTCCTTAGTAAAGGAAATGTACTTCTCTTCCGTTTTAGGAATACATTTGATGTCTCCACTACTTACCCCAAGGTTCTTAATTTAATGAATAGATGAGCATCGTATCCTTCAAGGTTGTGAAAAAGTACCGGAATGAATCTCGGTCCTCTCATTCTTAAATTGCACGTATTGTGTGCCGCACCCCTGTACGCTCCCGTATAGTGACAGTGATCCCTAACCTTGCGGTCTTTCGTAGTGAATTCCTTTCTGCACGCATAACAGACAGTTGCCTTTTCATAATTTTCGGTATCTTTGAAAAGCATCTTGATAGGTTCCTTGAATTTGAACCTGTTGTATATATCATGGGCTTCCTCTTCCAACATATATATCCACAAACTTTTTGGTAACGTCTTCTCCCTCGTGCTGTTGGGTATAGTGTACCAGCTTGGGTTTGTAGATGGAATTGTCGAAACACTTGACGTAGTAACTGAATCCGCTGGGGCGGTGCTTTTGGTATTGGGTGGTACTTGATCTGTTAGGGTTTTGCTCAACCGTGTCCATCCCTTCGATGTAGCATTTGAAGTCCGCATAGATGAAGAACGGAACGGTTTGTGTTCTTTCATAATTTTTAAACTCCGTAGTAGTACCTGGTTCTGGATACTCGTGCCTCTGATAGTTATTGTTCCAAAATAACTCCAGATGCTTTTCCAAGAGTCCGCTTGATCCGAATGCGTTAAGGCAACGGTTGCAGATATGTTCTTTATGTTCGTGATCGTTGATCTGTGAGCCTACAAACCTTGACATATTCTTAATAACACTAGAATGGTTCTTCCACAGGAAGAGGTTTATGGAATTGGTGTTACCGGATATCCGTAAGGGACATACCTAATAGCGTCCGTCAAGTCCGAACACGCTGACACCGATGTTATTATTCTTTTCAAACTTTTTGATATTGCTTAGGGGTGTTGGGAACTCTATCCCTTCCAGTCTAGCTTTCTGGACTGTTCCTTAAGTTCGTTTGAAATTCTTTCAGGGTTATTTTCAACCGGGTTCAGTGCGCGGGTCACAGCCCACTTAAAACATTCAACGTCGTCGTTTTTAATATTGATGATCACCTTCTTTTTCCTGATTGTCTCGGATAATGGTTCATAACCCTTTCCCCTTAACGGTTGGTATTCTCCAATATGAATTTCGAGCAGATCTACCCTATGAAGCCTCCACCCGCTACCACGCTTCTGGTATTCGGAAAAGGATTTTAGTATTTTTTCCTTCATGGTGTCAAAAGACTCTTCCGTGTTATCTATACCGGTGAGTTTGTGGGTTTTTGATCTGAAGTGTGCGACGACGGATACCTCTTCCTCAGTTTTTGGATCGTTCCTTACCATCTCGCATGCTAGGGACATGCTTACGTTCCTCGGTTCTGTTTCGGAATTTATGAGCGCCTCAACCTCGTTCTTGGTGATATCAAGGAAGTGAACCGGGTCGTATGATCCGTTAGGATTGATGACATACTTCTTTACCTTCTTATTTATACCACGCTTGGTTAGGATGGGTTTTAGGTCCTCTTCAGGATTGGCGTCGTACCACTTTTCATCCTCATCGCTAAAGTTCTCCCTTGCGTCGTACCACTGGTCTTCTTCTTCCTCTTTACCACTGTACAGTTTTACAACCTTCTTCCTCATGGTGTTAAAAGCGTCGGACACGCCCTTCCTGATGGATGATGGTACGTGGGTGGTTAGCCAGTTGTACCACTCCCTTATCCTATCTGCGACTCTTCTGGAACCTTCAGTCATCTTTCCTTTATTATATAGAAAAAAAAAATTTAAAAATTTTTTTCCAAAAGTGCTGACTCAGCCTTTTTCCAAACTCAAAGGGTTTATAAATAGGAAAGATGTCTGGTCCAAGATTCCAGGGTCTGTGGACAAGATAAGGAAATGATACCCTTTTTATTATATAGAAAACTTTTTTTAAAAAATTTTTTAGAAGCAATGATTCAACCGGAAGTGACGTCATAGATCACGTGATCCAAATCTGCGGGTACGCAGTGGGGAGACTTTGGGGAGGCTTTGGTGGGGGGCTTTGGGGAGACTTTTGGGAGGCTTTGGTGGGGCTTTGGGGAGACTTCGGTAAGACTTCGGTAAGACTTTGGCGAGACTTCTGGAAGCCTTCTCAAGGCGGGGGTGGTGGGGTTTGCGGGGGTTTGTGGGAGGGGTGGTGGGGGGTGGTCACGTGGTGTTCACGTGATTTTATAAACCGGAAGGGAAAGTCTGGGCAAGCCTGATTGTGGTAAACCGGAAGGGCAAGTCTGGGCAAGCCTGATTGTGGTAAACCGGAAGTGACGTCATCAGATGCGCGTATGAGGTGCGCAGTAGCGGTTAATTGGTCTTTTTGTAAAATGAGCCAGAACCGGCGTTTCCCTACTACTTACCTCGCTCCTTACTGTCCCCAGATTTATAAATTGGACTTATGCACTTGCTATTTTAATTCATCAGGAAAAATTTCAATGCTTAAAGAGGCATTAAATATCAACAGGGAGTTTACATGTAAGATGGCAACATCAGGACGACTATCAATACAATATCATTAATCCTATAGCACACAGGAAATGGATAATTAAATGTATATCTGGAGTTTGAGACATCGTCCATGCTCTGTTGACGACGGCAAAATGCATATTTTCACGTCTTGTAAATTACGCTAGCATTTCAAGCCGTGGCAGGCGATTTTTCTAACAGAGTTGATCAAAATCGCTCTGAAGGTTAAAGCTCTATTTTACTCGTTCTAAACTGTATTAAATTAATCAAAAAGTAAATACAGTACAACATTTTCATACAATCATTTATTTCAAAAAGTTTGTTTAGCCGTCGTCCTGACGCCGCCGTCGTACATGCGTAAACTCCCTAATGTTAAAAATGGGGGACGACGTCTTTCGAGTCCTTTATAAGTTTGACTGGAATATTATCAGGTCATCTTACTGATTCAGTGTATACACTGGGCGGTTGTTGGGGCGCTGAATGCTACTGGCCCCGTGGAACGTTAATCCGATCTGCTGCCCCAACACTCTGCATGGAATAAGCTACCGTTGCATATTCTGAACACGTACAATTATTATTATTATTAACTTCCTGGTAGACTTTAATTTTAGTTTTTTTCTTATTAACATACGTGTAGAAAAAGATATATGTATACTAAAACTGTCTGTACCAGTGTGGGTAGTGCCAATGTGAAAATGTTGTGCTGAGTGGTTATTTTACTACCTTAAAAAATAAGCAGAAACTCCACGTTTCGAGCGAAGGCCCTTCGGCGTCAAGAGTTAGTAGCAGGGATCGGGGAAAATGCACGGGTTTTTATACTAAGAGTATGAAAGCATCATGTGACAAAAAATAAACCAATTAGATGGATTTAATCATAACAAAGTGTAAACAAAATATGTAAATCGCATTACAGAATATAATATAATAAAAAATATATATAAAAATAATATAAAAATATACAGGAAGCTAAGACAATTACTACAAAAAATAAAAAATAAAAAATAAAAAATAAAAACAAAAGAAAAGTTGGAATAAGGTAAAAATAATAAATAGATAAATGTTGTCAATGTCTGCTATAGACAGGCAAGGACTGAAGGAATTAAATATAGGAAAAACGTTCATTAATACCCGAAGGGTGAACAGTGCCAAGTTTGGATATGAGGCGCATTTCATGTAGTTTGCGGCTATCGTTGCTTCCAGAAATGGGACAGAGGGCTCGAATAACCATATCTGAAACACTGTGATTGCCATTATTAAAATATCTGGCAACAGGTTGGTTAGCATCATTGTCAATAACTGCACGCCGATGCTCACCAAACCTTGTCCTTAAACATCTTCCAGTTTCCCCAATGTAAAGCATGCCACATCTGCTGCAAGACATGCAGTAGATAAGATGGGAGGAGGCGCACGTGAAATGGTGCTTGATGTGAAAAACGGATTTAGGTGCCGAAACAATAGTGGTAGAATCTACAAAATCACAGGTTTTACATTTCGACGACAGGCAAGGAAAAGTGCCTTTCTGTGACGTCGAAGCCTGTGCTAGGGTTTCACGGATATTTTAGCTGTGTCGAAAAGAAACTAAGGGGTTATCGGAGAAAATGGAAGATGTTTCAGGGTCGTTTTTCAAAATATGGAAATTCTTGTTGATGATATCTCTAACTTTGAAATTGAAAGGATGATAATTTAATACTAGGGGGGTTTTGTTGTTGTCTGTGACATTAGACACAGGGTCTGTGAGGGTGTCAGAACGGGGAATTTGGGAGGCCTTCGAAAAAGCAGTGTCTAAGAGAGAGGTAAGGTAACCACGTTGGACAAAAAAGTGTCTCATCTCCAGATTTTGGCCTGAAAATCTTCGTCTTCACTGCAGATGCGGCGAAGACGAAGGAACTGAGAGAAGGGAATCAACATTTTGGTGTGGTTGGGGTGGGAAGAGGAAAATAGAAGATAGTTATGGGAATCATTGGGCTTGTAGAACACAGAAGTCAATAATTTGTTACCATTGATTGATACAAGGATATCTAAGAATGTTACACTGGTCTCATTGATCACCCATGTGAACTGGAGTGCTGGATGGAAATTATTAACAAAGTTAATAAAGCGTTCCAATTGGACAAGAGAACATGATGCTGTGCCAAGACAGTCATCTATGTACCTACCAAGGTAATCAGGGATGGGATCAGTGTACTGTTCAAAGATTTGTTTTTCCACAAAACCAACAAACAAATTAGCATAGTTGAGTCCCATTTTGGTTCCCATGGCTACACCATTTATCTGTTGGTAATGCTCACCATCAAAGGAAAAATTGTTGAGGGTAAGCACCAACTCAGCCAAACGGTTAGGGCGTTTATCTAGAAAGAGTTTGAGGGCCCTCAAACCATCATGATGAGGAATTACAGGGTATAAGGATTTGACGTCCACGGTGAAAATGAATTTGTGAGTGCCATGAAAATGAATGTTCTGGAGAATTTGGAGAGCATGTTTGGTATCCTTGATATAGGATGGTAAGTCCTTGACCAAGGGTGCCAAGGTGCCATAACACGATCGAGAAAACTGCAGATGAGTTCGGTGGGACAACTACAAGCAGAGACAATAGGTCTGCCTGGGTTGTCAGGTTTGTGAATTTTGGGCAAGAAGTACATGACACGTGTGCGAGGTGTGATCTGTATGACGTTTTTGGCAGTCGCAGGGAGATCACCAGTGTTGATAAAGTTATGAATGGTCTGAGTGATGGTGGTTTGATGAATGGAAGTCAAATCCTTGTCAACCCTTCTGTAAAAAGTGGCGTCACCCAATTGTCGGTGGGCTTCATTACGTTATAAATCAGCTTTCAAAACAACTAAGGCACCACCCTTATCAGCAGGTTTGATAACAATGTCATTACGAGCATGGAGTGATTGGAGGGCAATAAATTCATTGTCAATGAGGTTGGATATCCTTTTGGGCCTAAATTTGGGGAGTTGCTCTATATCATGTGGACATTGTCGAATAAATAGTTCAAGGGACCCATATTGGTCTTCTGGGGGAGACCAGGAAGATTTTTTGGGGTTGATAGCCTCAAAAACGTCCTTGTGAGGGACGGAGGATTGATCATGAAAATGTGCTTTCAGACGCAGGAGTCTGAAAAATGATTCGGTATCGGTCTTAACTGAAAAAATGTCAAGGGACCCGGGGCTGGGAACAAATTTGAGACCTTTCGCGAGGACAGATCTCTCAGAGTCGGATAGGGTTAAATCAGGAGGAACAGTTACAACTAAATTAGTACTATTGGCTGAACTGGTGTGGTTGGTGGCCGGCGAAATGGGACGGTTGCTTAACAAAGAGTTGAATTTAGAAGCTTTGCTCGCTTCGAGGAACGAGTAAAGTCTAGAATTCAACAGGCGAATGAATTGGATGATGTCCTTTCTTAAAATAGAAGGACACGAGGTAGACAAAATGGACTTAACATGTGAAATCCCGGAATCTAAAGTCTGAATTGTTGTGACATAGAATCAATGCTAATGCGCATCAAACGCCGACTGTGTTCATAACAAGCCTTACTGACACGAGATACAATATGGCTGCTAGTGGACGAGTGAAAATCAAAATTAAAAGACGATTTAAAGCCGTCAGGAATGACTTTATATCGTAAAGAACGACTTAAGAAGGAAAGGTGGCTGGAGAAACGAGTTTTAGATAGAGTGAGGTCGAGCCAGCGTAAGGAAGGCTTAGCAATAAACGGTAAATATAATGTAATGTGACTCAACATTTCGTTCCGTAGTTTACTGCAAAATTTCTTGAAATTGACCATCGTTGTCACTGGATTTCTTCTGTGATATATATATATACTAAAACTGTCTGTGCCAGTGTAGGTAGTACCAATGTGAAAATGCTGTGCTGAGTGGTTATATTACTACCTTAAAAAGGAAGCGTTCCAAATTACATTCATTTCACTGGTCGCGTATATATTATCTTATGGCTTATATCTGACGTGTATATTTCCGGCACATATTCTCTTTAAGATGATGCTGTTGACCGGTTGCAACAATGCGGATATATAGTGACATTTCCTTATTAATTTAATGGAAATTACTGACATGTCGTATTTTTTCACGTGTTAATTTTTTTTCATTTTCTCTATTGTAATATGTGCTAATCTTCATCAAACCGCAGAGTCCAGTCGCCTGGGCGGCTGATACTGGACTACTAATAGGGTGGACGCCAAAAAGTAAGGCATTCGTTTTCGCGTCGATCTTTCAGGTATAATGAATGGAAACAAAATGTAGCAATTACATGAAAGTGTAATGGTTATTTCTGTGTAAATCATTGATCTGAGACTGAAAAGTGCACGTGCGACCTTTTCTCCATTACACTTTGTTATAGGCAATGCAAATCCGCATTATATCTCTATTTCTTTCTATCCGTGTTGATATACAGTTATATCAACACGAGTGGAAATTGGGAACACGAGAAATTGTGTGAAAACACGACGCCCGAAGGGCGGAGTGTTTCCATAAAATTTTCGAGTTTTCCCAATTTCCACGAGTGTTGATGTAACTGTATATCAATACGGAAAAATGTTTTGTATTTTTTTTTATAATATAGCGCAAAAAAATAAAAAGAAAGAAATTTTCCGTGTTGACATTGAGATATATCAACACGGCTCTAAGCAAATCAGCGTTCAGAATTTACAAATGCTATATTATATATAAATATTTATTTTGCACAATTTAATTTCATTATTCATAAAAAGTCGTACGCACGCTACAGGGAAATTTTATTAAATAACGTTTTAACGTATGCTGTGCGTACACTATCTTTCGTAGAAGTATACAATCAGTTGAAACGCGAAGAAAAAGCGAAACAGAGCGATAAAATAGAGTTTGTGCTCAGCTTCGGCCGAAGTAAATGAAACCAAAAGGCAGGAATATTTCTTGTGCAAGTGAATTAATTTTAACGAAACCTATTATTACTCTCGCGTGTGAGAAAATTGTTTCGCTTTTCTTAGTGGCTTAAATATGCATTGCAAAGCGAGTTTCCGCATACGTAAGTCCATTCGCCAGACTCAGCCACATAATAAGTTACAGGAATAAAAATATACAAATCAATATATTTCACAGAGTGACACAGCAGTGTTGGTTCTGCTGCTTGGGACATATATTCTAATATTTGATATCCTGAAAGTCTCTTTAGATCGTCGAGAATGTAAGTATAGATATTGTAGAAGATCAGTTCAGTTTGAAAATTTGATAAAATAGAATATAAAAAGAAAAAAGAAAATTAATATAGATACTATAACTTCGGTACAATGATTTAAAAAACAATTTCCTGTCCAGTTTATAAATGTGGAAATACAGGAAGGGATCCCAAATCCTAGTTCCCAACCCAATTTTGCATGGTGAAAATCTATTGCGAGATCCCAGTCTAACTTTTGCCCAAATCACATGCATGCAATTGTTATGCATGCAATGCATGGTTATTTGCAAACAGGTGCACTCATGAGCATAGTTAAGACAGTTAAGACCGCCGATTATGCTATATTTAAATTAATACGATTTACATTTGAAACTTTAAAATTTATTGCAATGACAAGTTGGATTATTCTAAATTCATTATTTTTTAACAGTGTAAACAACTAATTCAATTTACCTTATTAATTTATTGTGAAGATTGCAAGTCCATTGCATTTATTTTAATAATTTAGGATGTCATTGTTTCCTGTTCTACTGATTTTTGGCGCCATCGACAAAGCGTACGGAGGTACTGTATGTCCAATTTAGCAGTGCTAAAGATTGTTCTAGTTTGTTGTATATGCCTATACATGCCTACAGTTTCTTCCAAATAAAGGAAGTTTCTTGTGATTCCATATTGTCTATGCGTGTTGGAGTATTTAATTTTATTCAGGTTATTTGCGAATAATAAGTACTAAGTAAAATGACCATTATGACCACTACATGCAGAAATATATATAATTAATTAATGATTATTTTTGTGCCGATCACTGATCTGAGACTGCATAGTGCGAACTCCTTTGTCCATTAAACTTTGCTGTGGGCAATAGTTACAGTTATGAATAAATTATTATATAAGTAGCTACAATTTATTAAAATAGTTAAAAATCAATATTAAAAATTTAAAACTAAGTTTACGTTAAGAATTATGAAAGTGTCAATATTTGCAGTTAATTTGGCTACATTATTCGTTAACTTGTATCGAATTGAGATCATGCACTTTGAGGAATATGTTGAATATTCCACCTGCTGTTATTGTCAGAAATCTATCAAGTTCCTCTGTGGTAAGATCGAAAGGGGCAGTTTCCACTTAATAGGACTGTATAAATATCCTCTTCTTCTAGGTTGTGGATATAGCACATGCTTTGTATAGGAAGGCTATCCATTAATTTGTCCCACATTGTGTTACGCTCTAGATTCGTTGCTGAACAGTTCATTACAAAGTGTTCTCCAACATCAAGCAGACTTTCACCGCATATACGACATACATATTCAGTATCGTTATAGATAGATAGATAGATAGATAGATAGATAGATAGATAGATAGATAGATAGATAGATAGATAGATAGATAGATAGATAGATAGATAGATAGATAGATAGATAGATAGATAGATAGATAGATAGATAGATAGATAGATAGATAGATAGATAGATAGATAGATAGATAGATAGATAGATAGATAGATAGATAGTATAGATAGATCGATTGATTGATTGATAGTAGTTCTTTATTTCCTCCAATCACTGAAGATTCATGCATCATACATGTTTATGATAAAAAATATACTAAAGCTAATAATCTATGATAAAATTCATTTATATTGTTTGTAAAAATAATTTATCTAAAGTATAACAAATTGTTAGAGTTATAAAAGCAAATCTAAAATTTATTTAGGACAGACTGTTCCTTTTCACAAATGCTCCTTAATGTCGAAGAGAAGCCTCATTATAGAGTTTGCCACATTCAGACAGAATTTATCTTGCATCTCTTGAGGCAAGTACTGTACATTTGGGATTTTTGCACCAAACGAATTAAATGTTCATAAAGGTCTTCATCATCCTGAAGCGCGTTTAAGAATGCAACGTTCTCCAGTGGTAATATATCATATAGCGTGTCCCACATTTCGTTTCGTGGTCTATTAAGTACACAACACTCCATAATGAAATTTTTGTTTATGCCTACGATGTCTTTGTACCAAAGTTGGCAGGTGTAACTATCAGGAGTTTCTTGGACACACTTCATAAAAATGTCTGGTACATTACCACAAACAATGTTGACGAGGTTCGCCACAGCAATTCTGTTAAAGGGGTTACGCTTTGCGGTTTCCCATAGAGTAAGGGGCATTATATTTGGTGAATGTTTTTGTAGTGGCAAAGTTCAGGTTTGTCATTCATTCCTAATTTCCATTTAGACAATTGATGTCTTCCAATTTTGTCTAATACTATTTTCCCCCATTCTGCTTTCCTAGGAAAGTATTGCTCGTTAATATATGTTTCAAGAAATTCTTGAAGATCGTACTTTTGTAGTAAATGCATCACATCTGGTATAAACCCATAACTCTTTCCTCGCCTTGTCTATACCTGAAGGAGAACAACCGATTGATGAACACTTGCTTCGTTGTTGTTTGCGGACCTAGCATACACAATCTACCAAAATAGACTAACTTTGCCTTGTCAATGTAGGCTTCCATTTCCCAAAATCGGATGCTACCGAGGGCTGCTTCCGTACGAGTATTTGGGCCCAATCCTTGAATAATTTTGGCAGCGTATCGTTGTGCGCGTTCTAGATTGTTAAGTTCTGTAGTACCTAATGTATTCCATAGCTCGCAACCATACAAACATGTGGGAATCCAATTTGTTTTCCATAACCCAGCTCCGCAAATCGGATTAAGTTCCCCACTCCTGGCACCAAGGTTCATCAAGCTGTGTACAGTTTCTTTAGCCTTTTTGCATACACTCTTAGTTCTATCATTACCATTGAAGTCGCCAGATAATTCGATGCCCACGTGTGTCCAGCTACGCTTTTCTTCTACTTTAGCATTGTATAACTTCCAGTTCCTGGTTGCATTATTCTTGTTGAATGTCCTGGTGGTTTCTCCAAATGTAACTGCAATGGTCTTGCTTGTGTTAAAGTCGAAACGCCAACGACAGCTGTAGGATTCCAGAGTGTCAAGCTGTTCTTGTAATCCTTTGACCCTAGTCGAAAGAATTGTTATGTCATCAGCATAACTGAATTACAAGGAATAGAATTCACTGTTAGCATGTCACAATGTTTGGTGAGAATTTGCGGGATGTCATTATTAAAACATAGAAATAACCAAGGTGATAATACTCCTCCTTGGCGCACACCTTGCTGTACAGGAAATTTCTCTGATATCAGACCATTTGCTCGAACTCTGCTTGTTTGTCTCTTATACCAATTACGCATGAATCGCCACGATTTACCATTCATGCCATTATTGTGCAATTTGAAAAACAGTCCGTCAATCCATACTGTATCAAAGGCTTTGGCAGAGTCCAGGAAGCAACAGTAAACTTTGCACCCTCGTTTTACATTGTGCGCAACTGCTTCCTGGAGAACAAGACTTGCATTTATGCAAGAATTATTTTTTTGATAAGCAAACTGCAATGGATTCGGCACGCCTCAGGCTTCAAAGACAGGTAACCAACGTTGCAATACGAGTCGTTCAAAAATTTTCCCGATAATATTTAAAAGAGTTATGCCTCTATAGTGATCTTTGTTCAATCGATATTTTTTCCCACCTTTCAATAATGATATTATGTCTCCAAGAACAAAGCTATCAGAGACTATTTCAAATTCTCTGAGTGCGTTAAAGATTCTAGTCAATTTAGGTGTCAAGGTGATTCCTGCATGTTTTATGTGTTCGTACGTTAAACCAGGGTTTATTTTAAGAAAAATTTAGAACTGCACACATAGGGATGTTACGATTAAGGCAACTGGTGTTTGACTGGGAGGGGGGGTCGAAGGATTCTTTACATGCATATAGGTGACAGAATAATCGTGTGGTTGGGTGGGAGCTAGAATTGGAGAAAGGCCAGACAAACTCGATTTTGAGTGCAGGAGCTAGGGGTGTTCCCCAAGTCTACAGTAGAGGTTGTTAAGTTCTAGCAAAGATTTGTTTACCCAACCACTCACAAAAACTGTTTCAAAACATGTAACTGGGAATCATATATTTAATATATAACAACCTTAAGTTCGCATTTGAGGCAGCAAATAATGTTGAGGAGCTTGGCTCGCCCCAATTTTACCTTCTTTTCCATTACCCCAACACGTAAGTGATTTGTGAGGAAAATAGGAGCTGGGGTCTGGAGTTCTCCACCAGAAATCGTTTATATTTTTAATGCTCAATTAATGACAGCATTTCTGGAATTTTCTGGAGCATCCCTAAGGGTAACGAGTAAATCAGAAGACTGTTTTAATTAAGGCTATTTTTGTTAGTTTGGTGACTGCACATTTGTGTTTTAAGAACTGCACAAATGGGTTTAGAACTGCACATTCTGTGTAGAACTGCACGTTAAAATAAACCCTGCGTTAAACCATCGGGTCCGGACGCCTTTCCATTTGGCAACTTGGAACAAACGTCTAGCACTTCATGTTCTGTAACTGCATTGTCTAACGGATCATTTTCTGCATTGAAACTTTCACTCTCATACTCTTTTATTTTGCCTCCACAAACCTTCGAAACTCGTCATCGTACTTAGGATTTGTTTTAGGTGTGAGCAAATCACTGTAGTGCTTTTCCCACACAGACAGAACATCTTCTGGATCGTATATTAAGGTTCTGTCCACCTTTAGCCCTTGAATGGTCACTTCTTTTTTCTTACGAATGCTCGAGGTGATTTTAAAGAATGTGCTACGGTCAGTCTCGTAATGCTTTTCCAACGATTCAAATTGTTTTTGTTCTTCTAAATATATCTTTTTTCTCAGTTCTTTCCTAAATAGACGTTTCGCTTCTTTATATTCTCTATAGTAAATGTTCTCACGATCTTGTGATTTTCCATTCTGTAACCATCTTTTTCTACATTCTCTGCATTTCTTATGAAACTTGTTTAAACCCTTTTTCCAGTAAGGGCTCCGGTTTTTCCTGAATTTCTTTCTTGGAATGCTTTCTTGTGCTGCTGAGTGCAACAAATTTGTTACACTTCGTAGCAATCTTGGCATGGAAACAGCGCAGTTCTTTAATTTCAGCTTTGATCGCATTTATCTCCTCTCGCTGTAGTTCGTTCTCAGTCTTTACTGTTTTTATCTCTTCTCTCTTTTCTTCGACAATCTTCTTTAGATTGATTATTTTAGAAGACAGTTCGTTTATTTCCCGTGTAAGCCCTTCACGAAAGATGATCTGTCCGGCTTCCAAAGAAGCAAGCTTGCTCTTCATTCCAGTCCAGCCGCTTGACCGATTCATTGTAACTGGACTGTTATGAGTTTCATTGTTATTTGGCGTAAAAACACGCTCAGATTCATTGTCAATTTCCACAGCTGATATATCGCTATTTTTCTTGATCATACCTTTTATTTCTGAAGTGATGATTTCAGTGTCTAAACAAGTCATTAGTTCATACACATCGTCAGCAAGCCTATCCTCTAGGCTAGAGTAAGAACTTGTGCCTTTCGGTTTTCTCCTCTGGTAAAATTCTCCATTAGGAAAACCCTTTATATATTTGCACTTTTCGTAAAGTTTCAATTTTAGATTTGACAGTTCTTCAACGTCTTTATCTTCGAGTAACTTTTCGACCAGAACCGCTTTTGGCAAACTCTGACATTCAGTTATTAATCCTGGCAAGTTGGTCATTTTAGCCGCCGCCATTTTGAATTTGAACTTAAAAGTTGTGTTAAAATTTAACAGAAGTATTTGGGCCAATGTGACCAAATATCACATAGATAAACTCTAGAACCAATATTGAGTTTATTATAAAGTTAAAATTGTTTGTTCCTATCTTCTAAAAGTTTGAAATTTCGAAAAAGCTAAAAATTTGATAGAGCTAAAATTTTTGCATCCGCCATCTTGGATGCTTCCACTATGCTATATGTATAATAAAATAATCTAATGTATAATCTTAATGCATTATGTATAATAAAACTATTTTTAAAACGGTTAGTTTGAAATGCAACGTTAAATATATGACTGGATCTAAGAATCATATTAACAGTTTCATTACGTGGTGGAAGAAGATTATAAAGCTTATGGCTACCATCAGTCACCATTTCTTCAAATAGTTTGTCTGAAAGACCATCTCTTCGATGGCTGAGTCGTTGGAGGCCAGTTGATTGTAAAGCGTCTTCAAATGAGACCCAAGGTAAGATAATTCGCAATGCTCTCTTTTGGATCCGCTCCAAATCCTGACTGAGGTAATTTGTCAAACCATTATGGAATACAGGACTTGCGTATTCTAGGATTGGTCTTATGCACGTTGTAAAGAATAGGACAAGTTCTTTCTTGCCAACTCTCGCTCTCTGAAGTTGGGAGAGAAAATAGAGACGCTTTCGCGCCTTCGATATTATTTGGTCAATGTGATTGTTCCATTTCAAATTGTTAGAAACGCTCAGACCAAGGATTTTAGCACTGTCGACCACTTCCAAGATTTCTCCATTCACTATAATAGGGTCAAACATTGCTCTTGGTTTGCAGAATCCGATTCGTAACTCCTTGCATTTAGTTTCGTTAAGTTTGAATTGGTTCTCAGAGATTTGTCTTGTTAGGTTATCTATAAGGGTTTGAACTTTACTTTCTTCATTTTTCCGAACAATTTCGTCTAAAGTTGTATCGTCCACAAATTTCCATATATTACTATCGTTAATCGTTAAGTCATTTATCATTATGATAAACAGCCACGGCCCCAGGTTAGTGCCTTGAGGAACACCGGCTGAAATGTCGGCCCAATCTGAATAAGAATTTTGATTTAGTTTGACCCGTTTTTTTCTTCCTGTGAGAAAGTCCATTTGATCCATTTAAACACTCATTGAGGTAAATCATACGTCTTTATTTTGGAAAGTAGCAAGTGGTGGTCGATGAGGTCGAACGCCTTTTTGAAGTCGAATAGTATAACTCTAACAGTTTCCCCCGTCCAATCTGTGGCTGCGTTCCACTTATGAATCATACTCAGGAGGGCGAACGCGGGGCTTGATCGCACCATATTAATTCGGATCAACTCTACGGACACGACTGGTTTTACGAATTCGTCGACAATATAATCCTCAGTCACTTTAGAAATTATGGGTGTCAGCGAAATTGGGCGCAAGTCTTTGTTTACTTCTTGAACTAGTTTCTGTTTGGGGATTTGAACGATGTCTGCGCATTTCCATGATTGAGGGAGACTCGCTTCTTGGTAGGAGCTGTTGAGAATATCCGAAATTGGAGCACCTAAAATGTCTTGTTGCTTTAGATTTAATTAGGTTGGCTAGCTTCTTGCTGACGGACATTTCAGATACGTGGTACGGTCGTATATTTTCTATTGGTATATCATCACCAGTTTCCGGAAGTAGAGCATCAAAATCTTTTGTAGGTTCTAAAAATGTTTTGTTGATCATATTGGCCAGTTCTTCCAATTCAGTTGGATTGTTTTCAGATCCACAATCCAAGTTCCGTAAGAGAGAGATTAGGTCTACGCCAACCTATGACGAAATACGGCTCAGTTTTTTGGCTTCTTTCCACCACTCCACCCGTGAACAGGTTTTTAAATATTCAACCTTCGATGAATATAATTTTCTTCGCCACGACTTGCGTTCTCGATTGACTTGGTTTCTTAAGGATTCAAACAGTGTCTCATCAACACGAGCTAGAGCGGCTTGTCGGTGTCGGATCAATTTTTTTAATGATCGAGAGATCCAAGGGGGGTCATTGGAGACATTCAATTTGGATTTTAAGGGTAGTAATGTATCTTCTCCATAGCTAATTATTAATTGATTCGAGCATTTCTACCTTTGCATTACATGAGTTTTGCGTTTCGATTAGGCCCTTAATATCCACTTCTTCTAAATATTTCGCATAACAGCCGTTTCGTGGGTATCAAGGCACTGGAGATCGAATAAAATTTCGCCTTTTGGTTAGTTGGTATCTACAAAGGTTGAATTTCGACTGATAAATAATCGGAGAGGCCAAAAGGTGGACGTTTAGTTGGTTCATCATAAACTGTTTCATGTTGGTAAGTACCAGGTCAAGCGAACTAGAGCCACGAGTAGGAAATTTGACGATCTGACATGTTTAAACCTATTTTTCAGTCTGGAAAGGTTTAGTTTATTGAAGTCTCCAAGGATTATTACGCCACAATTGGTGAATCGTGCCTCAATTGTTGTTAAAGCCTCGTACAAGTAGTCAATTAAGTCCTGATCGTTTCCTTTAGGGGGAAATATATACACTTATCCCCGAGCCGACGGCGCGAAGCGCCGTGCGAGGGTACTAATTCTCCCCGGCTGTTTACACCCGGGGAAACGAAAGCATTAGCAAAGACTAAAGTTCATCAATTATCGCGGGCGTGGGTCACCAACGATGTTGGGGTGTTGGGTGGGTGGTCATCCTCACTTATCTCAAAAATATGGCAGACAGTCATGAATAGCGGACACTGATTGGTCCAATTTAAAGTTTGCATTATAACGACTGCATGACGACAGCGAAATAGCAAACTTTTCTTGATTTGACGATTAATAAATTTCTTGCAAATATATTTCATTTCTGCTCGCATTTTTGCAAGATTTTGTAAATTTCAAAAGCTCTCTCAGAAAGAAACTGCGAAAGAATCGGCTAAAGGAAGGGAGCCCACGTTTACGAAGGTAAGTTTGTTTTAAATATTGATTTTATAATGGTTTTAAAACCCGACGGCCTTTGGGTATATGAAACAACTAAACAAGACAGCATATAATTTCAATGTATCTTTAATATTGATTCCCTTTTTTATGATATTGAATTTTTTAAATAAATAAAAAAGAAAGAAAAGTTATTTGCAAGCGAGAATTTGAAATCATTTTATTGCAAACTCAAAGTTTATCGATAAAGCCATTTTAAAAGGCAGTTTAGTTTCATAAAGGACACTAGTGACTTTAAAACGTTTTGCGAAGCGTTTCTGGTTGAATTTTACCTTAAATTAAGGCTTAATTACGTATAATAGCATACCTAACATATATATGTTGGGAAATTAATAATTTTGTAATTAAAAGTGATATTTTTAGGCGATTTTTCATTTGTAAGAATATTCTTAAAAAATTTCGTGTTACCATGACAACTACTTTAGATACTTCATTTCGGAAAATACAATGGTTTTCAGTTGTCAGCAAGGCGAGGGTTTCTGCATGCATGTATTTTCTAGTATATATACAATCAGTACAATCTGCAGACATGCATGTTTCGGCTTCCCACGCCTCATCAGTGCAGCTTGGTACACATCTAGACACGCAATGACTTTCGTATTGATATACGTGACACTTGCTCTCCCATTGCAGACTGGCGCCGTCATGGCTGCCACGGCAGTTTAGAGCTCTCCATTTTTGAATAATTTGAAGCCTTTGAATGAAATATTCTGGCACTTTCTATTTAAAATTTAAAAACTACCAATGTTTGAAAAATGATATCTGGCAGAGAATTGGTTATCTTGGTATCCGAGAGAAATATAGAGGGAAAAGATCTGGAAAGAATAAACATCGTATAGCAGTGAGAATTACATCTCGAAATACTAGACTTCTTGATCATGGGAATCGTCGCTTTCACAATCCTTCAAACTGTGTAATACCAAAATTATTAAATTGTGATAAGACTTATGATTTACCAAACTTTCTGGTGTTAAATGCTCGATCTATTGCGGGAAAAGTTGACGAACTTCGTTGTGTTAATGACCAACATGAATTTCAAATCATATGCATTGCTGAAACGTGGCTGTCTGAAGAAATTTCTAACGAAATAATTGGTCTAAGTGATTATGACATTATCCGATGCGACAGAACTGGGTAAAAAGGAGGTGGAGTTGCTGTGTATGTTCACCGAAATCTGTTATATCGAATTCGACGTGATTTATCATCTAGTAAATTTGAATGTATTTGGCTAACTATTCAGCCGAGGAGTCTTCCTAGATCAATCTCACGATTAGTTGTTGCGTGTATTTATTTGCCTTCTAGCCTTAGCCAAGACAAAATTGAATTGGCTTATGATTATCTGGCTTCATCCTATGATAAAATCACAACAGAGAGTCCTGATTCTGGATTTGTTATTACTGGTGATTTTAACCCTAATAGTAACAGATTTGACTGTAAGACCCTCTCTTCACAGTGCAATTTGAAGCAAATAGTTCAATCACCAACTAAAAATGATGCTATTCTAGATCTGATTTTTACCAATATAAAAGATTTGTATGATACTCCTATAACCTCGGCCCCCTTGGGAACAAGTGATCACGCATGCATAAAATGGAGAACAAAGACAAAGATCAATTAGGCATTAAGCCTATAAAAAGAAAAGTTAAAGTGCGTCCGGTAAGATCATCTAGACTTATTGAATTTAGACACTGGGAAGTGTTTGTCAATTAAACTTAAGAATTCCCGTCCTATGTTCGTGTTAACACTCTTACTAAATGGTGGGTTGAACCAAATTATGTTGCGTTGCCTATTCCTACGTGTCCGTTGCGGTGCATCCTGAGTGTACGTAAATTCGTGATCAAAGTTACTATGTCTAAGAGCGTTCTGGTAAATAGGTGTACATTCCTTAAATGTTTGTTCGTCCGATGAGAGAAGTGCAATGCGTTTGTTGATAGCTGTAGGTAATTGTCTTGTAATGCTTGGTGGATGGTTTGAGTGTCTGTTGATGTACAATGGATCGTCATTGAGTTTTCTGTATGGTTTATGTTTTGCGTTGATCAGGTCGAAAATAACATCTAAAAAAAAATACAACGTTCATATTTACTTCGGCGGTGATTTTCAGGTCAAATTGAACCCAATGACGATCCAATTGAACCCAATGACGATCCAATTGAACCCAATGAACCCAATGACGATCCATTGTACATCAACAGACACTCAAACCATCCACCAAGCAGTACAGGACAATTACCTACAGCTATCAACAAACGCATTGCACTTCTCTCATCGGACGAACAAACATTTAAGGAATCTACACCTATTTACCAGAACGCTCTTAGACATAGTAACTTTGATCACGAATTTACGTACACTCAGGATGCACCGCAACGGACACGTAGGAATAGGCAACGCAACATATTTGGTTCAACCCACCATTTAGTAAGAGTGTTAACACGAACATAGGACGGGAATTATTAAGTTTAATTGACAAACACTTCCCACTACAGCCCAAACTACACAAGATTTTTAAAAGAAACACTTTAAAAGTAAGAACAACGTTAAGTCTATAATCACCTGCATGAACAACGTTAAGTCTATAATCACCAAACACAACGCACATATAATTAGGAACAGTCAATCACAGAATACGGAAACTGACAACTGTAACCGCGACAACAAAAACACTTGCCCACTACCGAAACAATGTATGACCAACAACATTATTTACAAAGCCACAGTCACAACCAACAACACGAACGACACTAAACACTACATTGGTATGACAGCGACTACATTTAAGGAACGTTACGCTAACCACACTTCATCTTTTCGTCATAAAAAAGACTCAAACAAAACGGAACTTTCGAAACATATTTGGAAATTAAAAGAAAACAATAGGATTATACCATCAAATGGTCAATTTTAAAACACGCTATTTCGTACACAGGGGGATCGAAACGCTGCAATTTATGTTTGGAAGAAAAATTTTGCATTTTGAAAGACATAAACAAAGACAATTTACTCAATAAAAGAAGCGAAATTTTCGACAAATGTCGTCACAAAAACCTGTTTCGAGTAAACAAGGTCGTTAACAAAACCTAATGACCCAAGCATGCATTGTCTCGCCTAAGCATTGTTTCGCCTACACGCATTCCGCACATTCTTTCGATAGCATAAAAGCAACCTACAATTTCGAAATTACTCACCACCTGATGATTCCTATACGGATGAAACAGACTGTTGTGGTTTTTTGAGGTAAAACAAAAAACTATTACGCTCTATCTATATGGTATTGAGCACTGTTTGTGTTTCGTAAACCAAAATCTTAAGATATATATATATATATATATATATATATATATATATATATATATATATATATATATATATAAATTAAGGTACAACAACTCAACTAAATCCACTAGCCACATATTGTGGTACGAAACTATTTGTATAGGTAATCATGCGATGGAGAGTACAATTAGGGATTAATAGTACGAGTGATGTTTGGAAATTTTGCCAAAATTGGACGAGCCGCCGGGGCGAGTCCAATTTGGAAAACGTCCAAATTAACATGAGTACTATTAATCCCTAATTGTACGAGCAACATCGCATGATTACTTGTTTATTATTAGCATGACAAAATTGGATACGTACTTCTCAATGTCAACATCGTATTCTCTCGCCAAAGCCCATCAGTCCTGCCAGTTGGTGCTTTTGTTTGTATTTTCATTTAGTTCTTTTGTTCAAGCAAAATTTTGTGCTTTTGTTCGTATTTTGATCTAGTTCCTCCACGGCAATTTCATTTCGCAATTGTGTTTAAAATACCTTTCCGCCATTTTGTTTGTTTTGAGAAAATCATTAATTGTACTGCATGCAGTACAATTAATGAAATAATTGTACTCCTCTCAACCAATCAGCATCCAGTAATTTTGTCATGCCAATAATAAAATAAGTAATAAAAATGCCTGGTGGATTTTGTTGATTTGTTGTACCTTAATTTAAATTTGCTCTTGTTTTCCATTGAGCACTTTGCCAAAATTTTTTATAACCAACGAAACCAAATCTTATACATATACTGTATATCTATGCTCAAACAACCACGAGGGAAGTGAGCTTTGCGTTATTGCTAATGGATACCCAATTAACTCCACAGAGTGCTCTACAACACCGAAGTGAAGTAGCATAATAGTACAATATGCAGACACGCATGTTTCGGCGTCCTACACCTCTTGCTCTCATGACACTTACATGACACTTGCTCTCCCAAGAAATAATTAATGAATGGGAAAATCCTTGTGTTAAAATATCTATTTCTATTAGTATTAATAATTAATAATTATTGTTCTATACACTATTAGAACCACACGTGATTTAACGAGAAGTGAGATTAGAATTACCTCTAAAATGTTATGGTATGTAGTTTTACCCCAAAAGGTTGCAACTACACTACAGCCTGTTTCGTTCAAGAGGAATCATGAGGTGGCTCATGTTAGATGAAACATGTCGGGCTGTAGTGGGAACCTCTTCCGGAAAAAACTACATTATCGGCTGTACATATCTTTAAAATATTCATTAAAAATTCATAAACCTGGTAGCAAATCATGTCAGCCATAACATGTCACGTGGAGTGACTTCACGTGACATGAAAAGTCATCTTCATTAGTATTCTTTATATAATTGTTCATCGTAGTTAGTATGATTATATAATTGTTCATCCTAATTAGTATTCTTTTGTAGTCGTATTTTAAGCTATTCAAAACACTCGAACTCGCGTTTTATCATTTCTAAAACGCTCGGCTGCGCCTCGCGTTTTAAATATGATAAAAGGCTCCTTCTCGTGTTTTAAATACTACATATGATATCGAGCACTCTTTAGCATTTCGTGAAACCAACCACAATCGTAAAAAGTTGTAATAATTAACAAACATCAACATTTTTCGAAACGTTTTTATAGGTACGACTGTAAATACCTCAAGCATGCATGCAATAAATTTTCGCCATCAACGTTCGACTTTTACAAGGAATAATTGGTAATAAATATAGAAATAAATTTGGTGATATAAATAAATCTAGATCTATATGGTGTACTATTGAAACTGACACTGCATACATGATGTTATGCATCATAATTAAAATTTAAAAGGTAGTCGAAAATCATACCTCGTCATCTATCTTGCCACCTGTTGTTTTAATTTCAATTATTTTTTACAGTTTCATGTATACCTATCAGGTTGCAAGGGCCATCTAGTGCAAATGGCGCTGGTCGTGTGGAAGTATTTTACAATGATAGATGGGGGACAGTCTGTGATGATGCGTGGGATATGAACGATGCCAGGGTTGTATGTCGTGAACTTGGTTATAAATATACTATTAAAGCTTTTCAAGGAGGCGATGTTCCTGATGGTACTGGGAAGATATGGTTAGATGATGTCGCGTGTACTGGGAGTGAGCTACGCTTGAGCAGTTGTTCTCATGGAGGGTGGGGAATTGAAAATTGCGGGCACAGTGAAGATGCAGGAGTAGAATGCTCTTCAACAGGTAAAATCATTATATATTTTAAATTTTAATTAATAAGCACTTGCATGAGACTGTGGCACACTATCAGATATAATGAAAATTGCGGGCACACGGAAGACGCCGGAAAAACATGTTCTTCGACAAGAGGTAAAGTCGTATTAAATTATTATAGGCTATAGAGAATAATACATGGGTGCGCGGAAATACCAGATTTATTTCGAGTGTTGAACATGATATCTCACGAGTGAGCGCAATATTATATAAAGGACAGTCTTTCAAAAGCGATAATTTTTACAGAAAAAGCGATAATTGAAAAACGATAATTTTCAGATTATCATAAATAATCTCACATGTGAGATTATCACTTTTATCAGTGCTCGAAATCTCTATAAAGCACTGTACTTTATATAATAAATTGTTTTAACCACTAGAATAAACAGTGGCAATATCACTCACTGAATTCCTAATTGCCAGTGTACACCATATTTCACTGTTATCGCCAAAAATGATACTCTATAGTTTTTTTTCCATTTTCGTTTTTTGCGTGTTACATTTATATTATTATACCTATACTGTATATTGTTATCGCATTTTGGCGCGTAACGTTGATGTCTTGCACAATTATTTGTAATTATAATATAGCATTTGTAAATTCTGAACGCTGATTGGCTAAGAGCCGTGTTGATATAACTCAATGTCAACACGGGAAATTTTCCGCCGCTTGTAAACACGGTAATTTTGCTTATCCTTCGGGCTTACATACAATTTATCCTTTTCCCAATTCCACTCGTGTTGATATAACTGTATATCAACACGGAAAATGTTCTATATTTGTTAAACATAATTCATACGTACATAATTCATTTGTACTCACTGCCAAATAATGGATAGGGAAGAATAACGTATTTGCTGCCAAGAGTCCCAGCTTGTGTTTCTATAAACCAAGAAGCAGGACAAATTGAGGAGATACCTGTCCCAGAATGTATTACTGATAACCCTGCATTTCAGTATTTATGTCTAAATTATTTGGTCTTACAGGTTGCTTGGAGCGATTATAGACAACATAATGGCATAAAGGCACATGAAGGGCCTGAGGATATATTAGGCAAAGAGATAAAGGGTCCCCTTGCCATCTTGTGCAGTTAGTTGTATTCGAGCACACTTCCCACCACCAGGTTTAGAAGAGGACTTTGTTTTTGAGGGTTTTAAATTTGCAGATGAGTAATTAAATATGTGATAGGGGTTCTCATTTCTTACTTTCTGTATATTATTGTAATATTGCTATTTGGCTTGCTACATTATTAACATTATTTTCAACCTACAGTAATCTGCTTGTTTTGTTTTGTCAAGTAATATTTTCTGATTACAACTAATTATAATACATTATGTAATATTTACAACTATCTTGTTCCCCTCCATTAAGAAAGTTGAGAGAACTAAGATTTCCAGCTACTAAATGTGGTCATATGTTGTAACCTAATTCCCCCCCCCCACCTCCATTTTTTCGCAAAGTTTCCGCCACGGGGTTGAGCCGCAATGTCCTACTTTGTTATTTTACTCTGTCTACTTTTATGCCAGTTTACGCATCACAGAGAAGTGTAGGAGAAGCATTAATGGGGGGGGGGACCAGTTAAGCAGATTTATATGCATATTCTCTTGTAAACTGATTTAGCTTGCATGTACGTACTCTACTTTGTTATTTTACTTTGTCTAATACAAGGCAAATTTACTAAATGGGGAGCATTGGGTGTCAATGGGTTAACCAGACTTCCTGCTCATAGTCTCTGGTGAAACCATTTAGCCAAAATGCACCCTACTTTGATATTTTACTCTTAGACTATCTAATGCCAGAATAGTTAACATTATAAGGAGAATTGTTGGGAACTGTGATTGTTTTAATGAAACTAGATTAATTATCTAGACCCAATGCCTAAAATAAGGAGACAACTAATTGGATAAAGTTTCCCGAAGAATGAAGCAGACTCTTTTTTCTTATAACAATAACACTTTTAAATGGAGAGGAACAAGATAGTTGTAAATATTACATAATGTATTATAATTAGTTGTAATTAGAAAATATTACTTGACAAAACAAAACAAGCAGATTACTGTAGGTTGAAAATAATGTTAATAATATAGCAAGCCAAATAGCAATATTACAATAATATACAGAAAGTAAGAAATGAAAACCCCTATCACATATTTAATTACTCAGCTGCAAATTAAAAACCTCAAAAACAAAGTCCTCTTCTAAACCTGGTGGTGGGAAGTGTGCTCGAATACAACTAACTGCACAAGATGGCAAGGGGACCCTTATCTCTTCGCCTAATATATCTTCAGGCCCTTCATGTGCCTTTATGCCATAATGTTGTCTATAATTGCTCCAAGCAACCTGTAAGACCCAATAATTTAGACATAAATACTGAAATGCAGGGTTATCAGTAATACATTCTGGGACAGGTATCTCCTCAATTTGTGCTGCTTCTTGGTTTATAGAAACACAAGCTGGGATCTCTTGCCAGCAAATACTTTCTTCTTCCCTATCCATTATTTGGCAGTGAGTACAAAGGCACCTACATGCATTAAGGCAAGTTCCAATTTAATCATAAGTTAATTTGGGCTAAACCAAGTTAATTTGGGCTAAAGCATAGCAGTTGAATTTACGATTTTTAGCCATAGTTGGTTCAACTTCAACCACGAAATTCAATGTAAATATTACATAATAAAGTTTTTAATACATTTTTTACCTTTATTTGAAGTACAAACATAATAATAATGCCGCCCATAATAATGTATAGTTGTGCATGTTGCTGAAAAAACTTAACCTACATATCTACCACATAAATGATAGAAGCAAATTTAGTAAATAATTACCAGTTCGTGTCCTGAAGTCTGGTGGTTTTGTCAGAACTTGACGAAGATTCCGAAGCCATTTGGTTCAAACGCGTAAGATTGAATCATGTTTACGTCTCTTTCGACGTTCATATCTTCGCTATAACTCGATCTACTGCTTCCAGAACCATCGCTCGAAGATTCGTTTGAGTAATCAAGATCCATTTCTCTTCATACAGTATTTTTCTTAAATTTATAAATACTATTTCGTCTTTGTTTACATGTGCTGTAAAAGCCAACCGCGCAATGACGTCACAAGGTAAAACCGCTGCGTGATCGCAGCTTCGCTGTGATGTACAAAATGGCGGCTGCGTTATATGTAAATTTTAGCACATTTATCGCTTTATTTCTCGACTTGGTTATAACTTGGAGATGTGGGACTTTGCGTGAGAGGTAAGCATTATATGATCTTTCATATCAGCCTAAGTTGTTCTGAATTCTGACTTCCCCTTTAAATAATAATATTAATAATTATATATATATATATATATATATATATATATATATATATATATATATATATATATATATATATATATATATATATATATATATATATATAACAATTTTTTTAAACATTAGTACTATGTATTTATAAATTTTATAACAACCAATTGTAATTCAGTCATTGGACTGCAATAATTGATTTAATAAACGATTCATCTCATCTCTATCTCTATCTAGATTGAATCCTAGATTGAATCCTAGATTGAATCATTGAATCCTAGATTGAGTCATTGAATCATTCATTGAATCATTGAATCCTAGATTGAATCATTGAATACTAGAATGAATCATTGAATCCTAGATTTAATCATTGAATCATAGAATGAATCTTACATTGAATCATTGAATCATTGATTGAATCATTGAATCCTAGATTGAATCCTAAATTGAATCATTGAATCCTAGAGTGAATCATTGAATCCTAAGATTGAGTCATAGAGTGAATCATTGAATCATAGAATGAATCCTAGATTGAATCATTGAATCATTGATTGAATCATTGAATCCTAGATTGAATCATAGAGTGAGTCATTGAATGAATCATTGAATCATTGATTGAATCACTAACACAGGACGAAATCAGTAGCTATCATCATGGTTAAAGGTGGCGTAAAGCGATGTTATTGGCGGCTTTATTCACATTTAATCAGTTTGATTAAATTTAGTAAATGTACCTAAACTCTCCTTTCAGCATGCAGATTAAAGATTTTTCTGGAGGCTTTAAATGACCAAATTATAGTATAATTATAGATGATTAAAGACGACCTATTAAAGAATGAGAAAAGGTTGTTTAAAGGGAATTAAAGGTTTCTAACTTGTCTTTAACTGCGAAGAGAAATGAGTTGTAAAGGTACCTTGAAGCTACATATACAAAGCTTTTCTGCTCTGGTATTTTACATCTTTAATCACATTTAATGTGGTGTTGAAATTGTAAAAAGCTGCATGTCTTTACTCAACTTTAAGCAAAGGTGTTTTGAATCTTTATTTTACCTTTAATCACATTTAATATGTGTTGAAATTGTGAAAAGGTACCTGTACATGCCTTTACTCAACTTTATGAAAAGGTGTTTTGTATTTTTATTTAACCTTTAATAACATTTAATGTACAGTACATGTCTTTACTCAACTTTAAGCAAAGGTGTTTTGTATGTTTATTTAACCTTAAAACACATTTAATGTCGTACGAAAAGAACAGAAAAGAAACGTGTATTGTCTATTGGACGTTTCCATTTGCCATTTAAATACCTATAGTATTGTTTAACCATTAATGGTTAAACATTAATGGTTAAACAAACTATTCAAAATCGCAAGTGCAAATGTCAAATAATAATGGTTACAGTTAAGCCATGTTTTAGATATTTTCGTTAAAAATTGTACGTGCAGGTAAGATGATCAATAAAACAAAAGTAATGCCATTCATAGATATCTCTGGCGTTTCCCAGATTTGAACGTAATAGCAAACAAGCTGCTCCAGTGGAGAGTTTAATAGCAAAGCAGGAAGTAATGTCTCCAAAGATCAAAAAAAGATTTCAGCACACATAATTTTTTCTTCAATTTTATATATATTTACCATATCAATAACATAAAAATCTGCCATGCAGAATAAATGCATATCGTATAAACAGTGTAAAGTACGCAAACTCATAAATTTGATTATCAAATTATCAATCACGTGCAGAATGAAAACCCACGAATAAAAACCTGTCAGTCTAACATTTCTATTTAGAATTTTGTATGAACCTGTTTAAGAAGCCATGCAGGTTCACAACAAATACATAAAGCACTATTAATACATTAGAACATGAAAAACTTTGGGTGATATATCGTGGGTCTTTACTATACTGATAAACTAAAGCAATCAGACTCATGATCATTTAAAATGTCATTAACAGAGTCATTCAGCGAAGAGCCACTAGGGATAATGACTGGGCACTCTCATCAACAACATTATCATCCTAATTCTTAGCTGCCCACTCCGGGAAGTCGTTTGGCTTAGGTCAAATGGAGGGCTGTCCATCCTCGCGAGGAACAATTCTGCTCCGTACCAGTTCTGACAAAGACAAGGTGTGGAGCCTGTCTAACTTTTTCTTTGCCCTTCGTATAGAGATGGACTCTCCCAGGGTAGCCTACGAACGTTGTAACGCATAATCCTTTTTGTTGTTTCGTCGACCTCGCTTTCTTCTGAGGACGTGTACAGTAGCCTGCCCTCATAACATCGAACACTCTTGCAGTTTTCTGGGCACCCCAATTTGCCTTTTCCACGTGCTTCAGCCTGCGTGCAAGTCTCTAAAGAAAGATACAAAATAATAACAAATAAGCTTGACACTACTACAAGTTCTTAGCAAACGTATAGTACAAATGTTGACTATTGAGTTCACACAGTACAATTTTGTATCAAATGTTGATTTGATGATTGGATGACATTGCCTGGATGACTTTTCCTTCCACCGTATGCGCGTTGTTCAGACTCTGAAAGTTCTTTAAATTCTTCTTCATAATCATTTTACATACTTTTCGTCGCAGGCGACATACAGTAAGTAATTTGGGGGGGGGGGTGTTAGGTAGACTGCTTATGCATGCCACAACTTTGCTCAGCAAGAAATCCGACTTTGGAAGCCTTACAGATTCATCCACGAGGTTATCGAGGCATTACAAGCAATGAGCATAAAAATGTCATTTACTGCATGTATTTAAATGTATACATTGCTCAGGGAGACAAAGCAAAAGGTAACTTTCAAATAGAGTGT